TTACTGAGTAAAGTTTGGCATTTTGTCATTTTACTAGGATGTGTTTAGTCTGGAATTTGAGCTGTCCATCACTCCATTACTGACAAAGGGTATCACCGAGATTCTTCAACCTTTTGTTAGCTATGACCATGGAGTGGATCAAAAGCCAACCATTATTCCTTTTGCTCCATACCGACTTGAAGTAAGTGCCCAAGAGAGTAAAGTGCTAAATTTAGATATATTTACCAATTTCACAGGTGTACTTCAACATTTTTATAAAGGGTCACACTTTTTGAATAGTAATAACATACATGTACTTGACAAATTTTGACAAATATTTTACAGGCAGTGGACGATATATCTTTAAAAACTTGGTCAGACTGCCTTGTCTTATGAGATCATCTGCCTAGGTCTGTATCCCTGCGCAGAATTGGTAGAAAAACACCTATCTTCCCCCATTTTATCATCTTTAATAAAGAAATAATAATTCCATTTGGATGGAGTTTTTAATTGTCAAACTTGAAATGAGATAATTATGTCCAGAGCATTTGCTTTGGCTATTTGTCTGCAGGCTGGCACTATCTGGTTGGATATGAATGTATGGATAGCTCCTGGTACTGAAGGATATGTTCCAGGGTAAGTCAGATCACTCACATTTCACCTGCCTGCCCTAAACTGACAGGATGTACATGCACAAACATTCCAGGGTCTTTCTATAAATTTGGGGTCTAGCTGTTTTCACGTCCCTGTAACATCTGGAATATAATTTTAAATTTGGAACACATTTTTGAATTTCCAAGAGTGGTGAAGCAACAGAAATTATCAGCCAAAAAAATAAAGATATTTTGAAGTCGACTTCAATGATATTTCCACGTCAGATATCCCAGGTCAGGTGTTATGGGGACAGGACACCAAACATGTCGCACTTTTAGACCCCAGAGTCATGGAATGACCCTCCTCTAAACATGTAAAACCTTCCTGAAGTAATGAGTTAAAGGATATGATCAAGGGGTCTTCTCAATTGAATCCAGGCAAACATTCCTGAATGGCCATGAATGGAACATTTCACTGACATGTGCACACCATGAGCTGTAGGACAAACTGTTGCAAAAGAAGGGCTTTTGTTGTTCTGAATGGTATTTATTTCGGAATTGAATATTTATCTTAAGCAAATGTCTTTCTGTATTTGTCTGCAGTGATCTGCTGGAATTCTACACTGAGGTGTTCCACCATCCTCTGTCCACTTTGACAGCACGAGACATCTCTGTTCTCTGGATGTTCCCAACCTATGTTGAATATGTCAATCTGACCAATCACAAGACATCACTATCTGACTACAATGCAATCCAACCTGTTGAAGCACTCAGGACTGACCCTACCAAGGGATTCCAGTTTTATGTGAGTGATGTTGTGACCATCACTGGCATTGACTTTTCCCCGTTTTTTTGAGGTCTAAATTCACCAAGGATGCCGCGTATCAATGGTGTATCCAGGTTTTTTGTCTAGGACATCCAAGTTTTTTCCACTGTAAACATTTCTCTCAGTCCTCTCCGCTGAGAGGTAGTAGTACCATTTCAAAAACGTTGGCACATTTAAGTCTTTAAAAATGTTTACAAATCAATTTTGTGCTCTTGTTCTATATTTCCATTCGGTGTGATTAGGTACCTTTCCCATCGTAGATTGTTACTTTCAGTCAATCTCAGTCTCATGTGTGGTATGATCAAGTGTCATGAATCAGATGTTGAGTGAGTTGTTACAGTAAAATGAACAAAAAAGTTAAAATAACTGGATGAACAGGGGCAAGGAGATGATAATAGACTGAGCTGAAGAATTATTACCAGTGGTAAATTGTGAAAAAGAGGCACATAAACACTAATACTCTATATTAACTTATATATCGTTGTTCACTCATGTTTTGTGGGACATTCCTGCAGCCGTTTAATTGGTATTTGCCTCCCACGCAGTCTCTTTGTCGGGAAAACCTACGTCATCCAAAGTGCTGATGCAGAGTGACAGAATGCATTGGTACTGGTGTGTAATGTGAAAATCAGACTATGAACCTGCCTTCTTCATTGAGTCATCACAAATGAGTAGTTTAATCCACAAATTAGGAGAAATGTCATATGAAACCAAGAAAGATTTTAACACCAGTTGTGACAGCTCTTAACCACTAAGAGTGGATAAAAAAATGTCAAGTCCCTGAGGTATTGAGGTACATGTATGAACCAAGTAACGTGAACTTATCTTTAATTTTTTATGACATTCTATAAGTCATTCAGTGGACAGTATTTTTTTGTTGGAATGTCACCCCCTTCAATGATATTACATTACGTGTACATAGAAATTTACATAATACATGCATTCATGTAGGTACAGTTTTGTTACTTGTCCAGGGACCAGGAACACAGCATGTGGCAAGTGGCTAGTTATGAACTTGTAACTCAAACCTCTAAACTTACTCCATTCTCTTGTTCACAGGTACCCACACTGAGGAACACAGACATGATCTCCTTCCACTTCCTGGTCAGGCTAGACCCTCTGAGGGCGCTACCTCAGGGAGAGTACCACATGGTCACGCTGGCCGAGACATATTACTTCTCCTGGGATCTGTACAACCCCCACGAGGATGACTTCAAACACAACGTGCTGACACACTCCCATGATGTCATCCCGATTAAGATCAGCTTTGAAGGTTAGTGGACGATGGAACATTGTGAACATGTAGCATAGTACTCGTGTGGGAGGGGATATGTGCCGTTAGTTGAGGAAGCTGCTCCCACCAGATACCCGTTCCTCATTGGATAATAAATTTACAGGTGGCCTATACAGCAGGTTGTGATTTCAAAATGTGGACTCCCACGTGTCTCCCGACTACCAGATCCTTGTTTATGCTGTTGGTCAACTTTGAAAATCAAAAGAGTTAGGGTTAAGTCAGTCACAGGTCATAGTTTGACGGTACATGAACAGGTGAATATTGCCATGTTTTTCTAGTCTGTCAGCTACCAGTCCACATAAATACTCTCATGATATATAATCCAGTAAACAGTTTCATTGATCACTGTGAAACTTATTAACCAGTTTGAAACAAAAACATTAGGTTTTCCTCCAAATTAACAGGCAAGATTTTCTTTTGCTCTGAAACTTTGGACTTAATTATGGGGATTTGGTGTGTGATTGCCTAATGTTGTGGATTTCCGCAATAACTATCACACGGTACATGTCTGGAACAAGAACATGAGAGTTGGAGCTCGTATGAGTCTCACTCTCAGTAAGAGTGTTTTTTTTTTACAGATATTTAAATACCAAAGCCTAAGGACCAAGTATGAAATGATTTTGACCAAAATCTTAAACCGTTATTGTGCATTACAGTTCCAACAACATACACAGGAAGACCGGAGCTGGAAGGTAAGATGGATTGACATTATATTGTTGGTAGTAGATTATGGCATCAATTCCTTTTAGAAGAAAGTGTTGGTTTTGAGAAAGGTCTTGATTTTTCAAACAGTTTCCTGAAGACAAACCAAACACCCTGTTCAAAACTTCGAACCCTTTCTCCCCAGTAGCTGTTCTTAGAGTCGACACATTCTCCTGAAAAGGACTGCTTCCATGATGTACCAGCAAAGAGTAATTCCATCTATGCCATTCCCCAATGTAAAGTTTCAAACTACTCTTGTAAAAGAGGGATATATTGCTTTGAGTCCTACTTTAACTTTGTCAACTTCGTGCAGACTTTACCCACAGATTTAAAATGCACTGTATTACTTTCTTTGAAGTTCACTTGAGCACCACTGTAACCAACGACAACCACCTGCTCATTTACTCAGTAAAAAACTTACATTTGTGTGCTTCACTCCTCATATCACGATGTGTATTCACAGATCTCAAATTGTCAAGCTACAATGCTCTGTACGATGAGGTACACGACATCATGTATGCCTGCTTCTATAACAATACCAAGCATGTGTGAGTATTACCCAAACTGACCTTCATTAGGAGATAACACCTGTTGAGTGTTTTCATCTGATTTCATATGTCATGGGATGAATGCGCATGCTGTATAAGCCATTTGGAACTTACTTGTTATGTGCACATATGAATTAAGGTGTACAGGAACCAAGTCTTTTGGATAGGATTTGTCTAGATGCTGTCTCACCTTGATTACAAGCACCTGCCTAAATCAGCATTCACTAATCCTTTGCATTGTGACATTTGGAACATGCAGTTGAAGAATGTTTATGATCTACACACAAGCAGATCTCAATAGTGTTAGGGCGGAGGCAATTCAAATAATTCGATTATTCAACTTTCAATTCAATTGAATAGTTGAATATTTGGTAACAAACCATATACAAAATCAGTCGCAACAATGCACACAATTGTACATTATAATCACTAGAATAGCTTTTTACTGTTAGGACTATTTCCAGTGAAGATTTGACAACAAAAGAGCTTCTCCAACGCCACCATTTGTGGTCACTGAGAGACCACTTACAGTTTTATCTGATGTGGCCATCTTCCTCTTTGGACCTCCAGTCATTCAATTTAAAGTTGAAATATTGTCATGAAAGTTTTGTCATATTTTATTTCATCAAAATTTGCATCAATACGTCATTAGTACTAAGGCCATATCTTGGCACATTCATATATATTTTTTAAAAAGCTATTCCCGTTTTCTAGGATATTGATAGATTCTGTGTTGGACTGCTGGGCATATCAGCTGCCGGGAATCTGCTTGAAATAAGCCACAATAGGGCTAGTTATCTCACTTAAAAAAGAAAATTCTCCCTTCGTTTTATAAATTTTGCATTCAAATATTTGAATTTGAAAAATAATAAGTGAATTATGCTAAATGTTTGAATATTCGAATATTTGACACAACCTTAAGCAGTGTCTTGTTCTTCTGAATGAACCTGTCGAGATGCTTGAATTTCCTGTAGCCGTGAACAGATTAAGCTGCTTTTAACTGTCTATTTTTCATTTGATCCACAGCTACGAAGGTGGGTGCTTCATGACAGGCAACCTCCCACCCTACAAAGTGGAGGTTCCACCCACATGTGAGGACTACTGCAACTGCACCTATTTTTGGGATCTTCCTTCAGGAGCCAACTGCTCGGAGTTTCAGCCCAAACCTGAGAACTGCTCTTGTGGTTGTCTTCCAGATTGCTTTGAGGTTTGAAGCACCTGTCAGTTATCATCATAAGACAAACCTAAATGTATTTGTGCGGTTGGGATTTTTGGTGACAATTTTGTAGGTGGATTACATAGTCCTTATGCAGTTGTATTCAGCTTTACTAAACTCTTACATTGAACATTTGGTTATAACAATCATCCCCTTATGCTCCAGTATCTTGCATAATAATAATAATAATAGTGGATATCTATATAGGTCACATATCCATCACAACTGATGCTCAAGGCGCTGTATTATCACACAGAGCAATTGGGGTAAATACCCAATTTGCTTGGTTTATCTGATTGAAAACTGACAACATATGTTTCAAGGACACAGGCTGGCATTATGTTTGCAATCACTAGAAGTAAATTACCTCTTTGGCACAAATGCAATGTGAGTGCATAGAAAAGCACAATTTTGAAATTGTATCAAATTTGGAACATGTTCTAGCATTTCATGGCTCAGTATCTAATCACATGGATAACTAAACATACAATGATTATATGTTATTATCCTAGTGAGGGGTAGTTTCGCATTAGGAACAGGATTGGCAGGAAACTAGAGTAGTTTACTAAATGTAAGTTACTTACATTTTTGGGTCTTGTATCCATTTCAGGAAGAATCTGCTTGTCGGGACTCCTGTCAAAATTGTACCTGGTGCTCCTATGAGGAGCTGCAGGTATGCCTGACAGAATGCAGTAATGAACACACCAACTGCAGTCAGGAATGCTGCCTGGATGCCTGCGACTTCCAGCTAGATGCCTGCCTTGTCCTGTGCAGCAACTGCTCTGTTGAAGGGGACGCCCACCACAACTGCTCAGTTGACTCTAACTGTAGGCTTGATTGCTCCCTTGGCCATGCGCTTTGCACGGTCGATTGCCTCAAGCCACCTCTTACATGCCATGATAACTGTACCGCTGGGAGGTCAGAGTGTTGGGGAATCTGTGAGGAGGTTTGCCAGGGGCAGCTGGAGGTATTCTACCCAGGGATGGAGCTGAACTGCTCACTGATCTGTGACTGGGACTGCGCTCGCGAGGAGCATTTCTGCACCAAGAGCTGCTGTCTGGATGAGTGCCAATTCAATCATACTATATGTGGTGATAATTGCATGTACACTTGCAAAGACGACAAGGATTGTGTAGCTGAGTGTCTAGGTATGTGCAGCATCAATATAGGGATTTGCAACATCACCTGTGATCCACCGAGTATTTCCTGCACTCAGCCTTGTGAGTCTGAGCTCTTGATGTGTATGGATAGCTGTAATCATACTTGTGTGGCTGAGACCTGTGAAGTTATCACAAGTGCCAGCAATTGTTCAGCTGCTGCTCAGACTTCCGGGAACGTAACATCAAGTGATTCACCCAGCAGTTGCTCCATTGGTAACTGTACACATCACAATGAGACATCAAGCTCCATGTTGAACTGTAAAAATAATACAATTGAGCACTGCTTCACATCCATTGACCAGAGCTGCTTTGGGACTTGTACAGAAATCTGCGGGTCAAATTATGACAGCTGTGACCAGAAGTGCTGTCTTCTGGCCTGCCCCACACAGCGAGTAGTCTGCATTGACAATTGTTCAGATGCATGTGGAATGGATGAACAGTGCCTCCAAGGATGCAGCTATGACTGTGTTGATGCATTTGACAGGTGCATGTTAGGATGCATCATGCCTAGGCCTGACTGCCGGCTTGGCTGTGAGGCTCAGTATCTAGCCTGTGATGATGCATGTCAGCCGTGTGGTGGATACATCTTTGATGCTGTAACTCCCACCCAGTCTTCTGATGATCACCCTAGTAGTGAGGCAGGTGTCATTGGAAACCACACTGACTCCGCAATGCAAACCCTGGTTCCTATTAATGGGACGAGTTGTTTAAATGAGTCTGGCACCTGCAACCACACTGCGGACAACTCCTCTTGCATTGGTAGATCTCTGAATTGTACAGGAAGCACAACCACAAGTTTTCCTTTAAGTAGTGCTATGCCTCTAGTAAACTGCACAGTTGAAATTGCCAGTTGCCATTCAGACTGCAGTGAGATGCTCACAGATTGTGTTGATCAGTGCCCATGTGATGAGTCTTGCTTCCGTCAGTACTCAACCTGCTGGACCACATGTCAAGGCTGTGAACCAGCCTGCATGGACCTTTGCCATTCAAATTGCTCTGCCGAATCTGGCAGGTGCATTAAGAACTGCACCCAGCCCACAATTGACCCCATCAGATGTTGTGCTGAAGAGTGTAATGTTAAATTTGATAAGTGTGTGCCTGGCTGCTTGTATAACCTCACGGTTAACATCACAAGATTCCAAAATATGAGTGAGGGAGGACCAGCTAATATTTCTATGTATAAGATAGTTACCTTCCTGAATGATACTTGCCTTGATGGATGCACTGCAGCAAACAAGGATTGTCTGAAACCTTGTGTGGAACTGCTATCTGAGAGGAATTGTACAGAGCATTGCTTTCCAGGAGGTTCTTTCAGTGATTTCTGCTCATCACAGTGTCATAACTTTGCCTATGTTTACAGTAATGCTACACTGAACAGGACCTTTGAGAGTTGTTACCAGGAGTGTCTGGCTGGATGTACTAACTGGACCAGGAATTCAAGTAACATCAATGATACTTCAAGCACTCCTACAGAAGGCCCATCAACTAACTTGTCAAGCTCTTCTAATCCAGAGGCCACAACAAGTAGCTCTTCTACCTATCAAACACACTCAGGTAATGGAACTTCCCCCTCAGGTACTGCATCACCCACAGCTTCCTCCACTGCAAGAACACATTGCATCAAAGACTGCAGACCTGTTTTCCCAGATTTCTTCAACAACTGCTTTCAGGATTGTGGGACTGAGTTCGGCAAGTGTACAAGGCAGTGTGTGACTCAAACATCTTCAGAGACTCTCAATCAGTCTCTAGGGTGTACCGAGGTCTGCGGGCGGGACTACAAGGCCTGCAGCCTGGACTGTACCAGCAATCTGGTGTTACAGAATTGCAGCTTACCTTGCCAGGATGCCAACATCACATGCCTTGAAGGCTGCCGCACCTGCTTAGAGTGCCGAGATGATTGCCACTGGGATTGCAACAGACAGAAGTCTTCATGTCTTGGTGTATGTTTTCCACCAACCTGCCAGGACCTGCATTTGACCTGCCTCCTCAACTGCTCACTCTGTGACTGCACTGGGGAATGCAGGGCCAACTGCTCCTCAAGCACTCAAGACTGCCAGACGAACTGCTTGCCTGAAGAAGCCAAATCATGCCAAACAGATTTTGCAGTTTGTCTTGAGGAATACTCAGGCAGCCCTCAAGTTGCAAGCAATTGTAGTACTGGATGTTGTCTCAATTGCAGTCTTTCTTATGCGCATTGTATTGAATCCAGTTTTGACACTGGAATCATATTGCAGAATTGTTCACTTGATGATTGCTCTTTCTCTCATTACAGTGCCTTTTTAACTAATTCTTCGTCAGAATTTTACATGTGTAATAGCACAAGTGAAGATGCTAACAACCATACTGCTGTTTTGTGCAGCAATTCAACGAGTCAGACCTCATCATGCAATGGCCTCTGCATGGCCTACCAAGCCTTCAGCCATTGCAAATCCTTGTGCAATGCATCAATGCACAGTTGTCTAAACACTTGTCAAGTATGTCAAGATGAAAAGTCATGCTGTGCAGCCTGTGCCAAGGAGTGCATCAGTGGCCATTATGCTTGCTATGCAGACTGCCACTCAACAGCATTCCCCACCAACTGCAGCAGAAACTGCAGCAGCATTAACACATCATGTTATTACGACTGCATCAACTGCACAACCTGCCCTGAGTGTGCACTAAATTGTGAGGCAGACTACATTAATTGTACCACCCTCTCACGAGCAAATCCTCTACCAACCTTGGCAAACACCACTGCTAGGAATGGCAGCGGGGTCCATCCAAACTGCACTGCCCACTACAATTGCCACAGTCTCTGTATAAACAAAAACTTTTCTGAAGTCTGCAAGAGTAGCTGGAACTGCAGTGATTCAAACTGCATACAGCAGTGCCTACAGGAGTTTATATCACCAGCATGCACTTCTATAGACAACTGCACAGAGTACAGCAACTTTTGTGGGAGCCATCGGAGAAAGAGACGTAGTGTACTTGGGATTAGTCTTATGAAATCCGATTTCTCGTCAGAGCCCTTAAAGATGCCCAACTTTGATGACTTTATTGTCCACGAGGAGATGAAGAAGAGATTCTTGAAGAAGCACTTGGGTCAAAGTCAGACGGCAAAGAGAGTCAAAGAATATTATTCATCAAAAGGAAATCAGAGGTCTGCTAAAGCTGGTTTTAAAGCTGGTTTGAGGGAAACTCCATTCAGTGCAGAAAGACAGATGGCTGATGCATCTAGTATCCTGCCTCCATTCCTGGAAATGTTAAGCAATCCTGTGCTGGCAGCAAATACTGAAATGTCCCACATGGTAGCTCCGCCTTATCCATTCTGGTTATTTTCAGGTGGGAACCAGGCCATTCACTACAGCGTGAAAAGTGCAAGACCTGGAGACAGCACTTACGACCAAGCCCTCCTTCTTATGAAGTGGAGGCTTGCCTCTAAGCCCCACCACAGTGTGAACAGGAGAAGTGTGGACAGTCCTGCAGAAAATGAAATATTCTTTGATCCTAATGCTACAAATAGTCAGTTCAATAATAGAATGTTGCATGTGGGCGTACTGAACTATAGATATCCTGTCTGTTCAAGTAATGTGCTATACCTTCATTACCAGAGCTGCCTCCATAATTGCAGTCTCCTTAAAGACGTATGCAGAGTTCAGTGTGCAAATTTCAGTGCTTTTTGTAATGGCTTTGATGGTTCGACATCAAACTGCACCTCAGTTGATTCAAGTAGTCTAGACTGTGCATGCTTTAATGAAACGCTTCATAATGTGGGGTATTGCGTAGAATGTTGCTCTGAGTTTTGTCAAGGTATGTGTGAGGAGCTCAGGCCAGTAGCGCACAAAAAATGCTATGAAGACTGCAATGAAACTATGATGTCCTGCAGCCAAAGGAACAACACCTGTGATTTCTCAAGCAATTCCTCTGAGTCTGGTGGCAATCCAGGAGATGGTAATGCCTCAGTGTCCAATATGACCTGCCCAGCCTCAACAAACCGAAGCTGTGATTCAAGCTGTTTTGATCCGTGTACGCTCTCTCAACATGCTAACCTAACAGCATGTCAGCACCATTGCAATCAGTTGTCAACGTTCACCGACTGCCTGCAAGTCTGCAACAACTCAACCTGTGCTGAGAACACCACCTGCAACTGCACGTGCCATTGCTCCTCCTTCCCAGAGATTCTGACCAATCACAATTGCTCTTTCTTGGAGTGGGCCAATGGAGTCCAGCCTTGCATTGTGAAGAAAGTAACTGAGGTCTGTTCCTGTGCCTGTGGATGTACAGAGATACCCAGGAGCTATGCAACTACTAAATGGAGAGGTGAGCAACCAATTTAGTTATTGTGAGAAAGTCAGCATTTGCAACATCACAGAAAACTTAAGACTGAAGTAATATCATTGAGTCAGGTAGCAGAGAGTGACCCTGTGAAAACACAGGCCACTGAGAAACACAGACTCTTTCCAGAGCTGGGGAATAGCAGACGTTACCATACCTTATACATATTCATGGTCAGGAGCCGAATTCCTACTGGTCCATCATGCCAGTTCCTATTTTACTTGTAGCTGTTAATAGGCTTGTATCCAAGAATTCATGCACAGGTAAAATACACTAGCTTACTGGGAACACGTCAGTAGAACTGATGCAGAGGTGAAGTGCACCCTCGCAAGCATCACATGTGCAAACCATGCTACATGTAGACTACACGTGAACAAGTGGTGGCTCATGTTTAAACTGCCTCTCTCTTGCTCGTTAAATTTAACAAGGTTTAGGTTTGGTAAAATTTCAGCAAACAGTTGGCAAACTACATTTTCCTTCAGCTTCACTGTGGGAACAAGTTTGCCAATTGCTAATTGGTATATTAGCACCCAGGAACATCCCACATTCATGTACTTGTCACTGTGCTCTAGCTGACATGCTGCCCAATACATGGATGTTGCACCATCCAAGGGGAAACTTATATTTTGCCAATTGCTTGGGTGTAATTTGTTTTATGTGGCTTGGAGAACTCTGGCCAAGTTCCCCAGTCTCTGTACGTAAGGGCTTAACAGTTGAAAAAGACAGTACTCAGGACATTTAATGTAGACTGAGAACTATTCAGTTTTCTTGAACTTTACGGTATAACTTTGTAGTGAGCTCCCACATGGATTTCCAAAAGAAACAGTAATGCTCCAATAGACCTTTCTCGTGAAATATGCAAATTAGATGGGTGCATGCACACTTCTACCACTGGTTGGCAAGCACGGCTGTCAACATTGTCGGCAGTGTTGGAGAGCTGCTGTAACCATAACCAGGCCTGTTGAAGGTCGATCAAAACTATATTACAGCCTTTGTCCGATACTTAAGCACGCTTTCCTCGAAACTAAGTTAAGTTTTCATTGTCCTAAGGTTGGAAAGTAACATTTCCTTGTCTTTGAGTTTGGCACTCATGTCAAACTAGTACAGAAATGGCGTGTGTGCTCATAGTAAAAGTTGCGCGCACATGGAGATTTGTTTTGTTATGTCATACATTTAAGCAACTTTGCCAACCAGTGGTAGTAATATGCATGCACCTGCCTCATTTGCATATTTCATGGGCAAGGTCCATTCTTGTCAATATTTAGTTTTGGCCCATATTTATTTAAAAACACGGGGAGGTTCCCTCACAGTGCAATTATGCAGCTTTATATATTAAACCTTGTCTATCTTGGCAGTATTTCTTTTATTCACTCTTGCAGCCTTGCATTCTAATGTGGGCAACCTCCTAGGCCTGGATCCTTCCAGCAACAGTCTCTATGCCCTGTCTTACCATGGATTGGCCATCCTACGTAGCCATGACTACGGGGAATCATGGGTGGCCATGGCAACCGATGCCTGGCACGCTGCACGCGACATGGGCACATTTGTCGCTTCCACAAATCTTGTTGGGGATGTCTTGATAGAGATGGAACCCAAGGAGCTGACTTTTGCTTCAGGATATTGGAATACAACTTGGGGAGGTGAGTTTGGAAACCACTTCAGTGATTAAGTGATTCTCCAGCCAACACACCCAGCTTCATACACATAACTCTTGTTAACATTACATGTATGTGTCACCTGTGTGTAGATGCAAGTGGGTGGTTGGTTGCAGACTCCCTGCTACTGAATCTCTATTCCCTTTATTTGAATAACTGGTACTTTTGTCAGTGTAACTCTTAAGTAGTGAAAACAGGAACATGTGTAAGCAGCTCCTCATTTGGTGAGTAGTTTTCATGCAAACTCAGACTGTACCTGTGTGCCATTAGAAACAGTTGGCCCCTTTGGTATTAAATTTGTTCAACTGGGTTTCCCTGTGAAGCTTTCAAATTCACAAAAGCACCTGTTTTGACTGAGCTGAGAAATTGATTTGTTTTTCAATTCCACACCCATGAAATGATATTTCCACTCATCACTCTCTCCTGTCTCAAATCTTGTTTTCCCTGGCACATTAGTTTCTGGAGTTGGTGTTCATCGATTTGATAACAGCACAGCAGAATGGAAAGTGCTTGGAACTTGGCAATGCTGCAAGGACCCATCACTGAAATGATGTGAAGATCTGTAACTCTTTCCAGCCATTGTCAGGTGTTTGTCTCCAATTTTCATCAACGCATGTACATGACTGCCAGGCTTCATCACTTACAAGTTGCACACAAGATCACAAAGGCCCTATATTTTGTGGTGTCAAAACACAGTGTGGAATGACACAGTGTACATGTACAGACAAGTTCCACAAAGTATTAGTGTTCATTGGTGTTGCTTTTTAGCATTTGGCATAGCCATGTCCAACTTACTGTACTTGGCTAGTTAACATGTCTGCCTATAGGAGCTGCTAGCTAATGGCTTCAATTATTTCTCATAGACTTATGTGATATAGCTAAGCCACAGCCTAGTCATTTGGACATGTCCTATGCTCAGTTTGCTGGTTGTTGCCTAGTGTTTGATACAGTGATGTTTATTATAACAAAGTCTANTGGTACAGCATGCTTTCTTCCAATTGCTGACCAGTGTCAGTGGAACTTATTTTCAATCATTAGTTCTACATTTGCACACCTTCCAACTTCCACTTTGAAACATTTAAAAGTAAAATCTTGATGCAGAGTCCGGCTGTGACACACGAAACAATTACCATGTACTGGGGGCATGCTCCATACACAAGCTTGCAAAACTACTTTGATGCATGGACATGACTGTTTCCCTACTCTTGACCATCTAAAGATGTGTGGGAACCAACTAAATACGCTTCTCACAGACTGGATTTCAAGATTTCAGAGGATTTCAAGATTTCAGAGGACTCTGACTCATATATACAATGTATATATCGCTGCATATACATGTTCATGTATGGTAACAGAAAAGTGCTGTATGCTGTAAGGTTTTTCCATGTGCACTAACTATTGTCAATCTGGCCCACAAAAGGCCTGAGGTTTTTTCATCAAAATATAAAAAAGTCAAAATACAAGCAATTGCCAGAAGTCTGGTATCCCTGTATAAAAGCTCTCGTATAAAATTGTCTATTCAGAGGAATATAAAGAACGTGACATTAACAAGTTGTCTGAAGTGCTTACTCAAATCTTGTCCGGAGAAAATTGAAGACAAACTGTGGAAGAGCGTTGCGGTGGAATGTCGAAGGTTCCTAAAAAACTTGCCCGCAATCTTCCTGGAATGAAGTTATCGGTATTTGTATACAGATCCCCCCCCATTTGGGGCTTGGGCCAGGCAGGCAACTCAGGGCCACATGGTTTTGGTCACAGAAGAGCCACAGGTAAAGGACTGCACATTTAATTGCTCAGTCCTTACTCGGGGCTTTTTAAAAGTTTGTATAAAGAAGCTTTGTGTTTTTTCTGTGGCTGGAAAGCTATGGTTTTACTTTTAGGCAAATCTAGCTTTATTTGCATTTAATCTGGTGATAAAGCAAACTTTGGAACCTTGCAATTTTGATATACCAATGGCTTCCAGAATTGAATTCAGAACTGAATGGATATAATCATGGAGGTAACTTGTACATGTAACGAGTGAGTGAAGCG